ATTTGAGTTGTAGTGGCAGGTACAAAAGGTAAACAGTGACGCCTTAAAGCAGGAGTACGAAGGAAGAACATATTACTGTTATTCCAATACCAATTCCACCTGTTAGGTTAGATTTCATATTAAAAATAATTAATGTGCAAACTTTGTATATTATATATCAGCATACCTGTTATAGCTAATAAAAATTTTCCAGTTCCAGATATATGTTTAGTTTCTTCAGTAACATCTTTTATTTCTGAACTGATGTTCATATTATTTACGTAATGTAATCGAAAACTTTTGAAACGTCAAATTCCGAACATTTTCAAATATTGCGCTATGAATCATGTCATGATCATATTTTCGTAAGTGCAGTAGTGCAAACATATCAAATAATAACATTAAATCGATTGACACTGACTTTATTTTGGCGCCAAAAAGTAGTTCCAGCTATCTTAGTTTGTTTAATGTTATGTTATGTTTTGATACTATTTTGTATTTAATACATAATTTTATGCTTTTAATTAGTTAAGTGATTTTAGTTCATTAAAAGAAGCCAATACAAATAGTTAAATAGTTTTAAATTGTTACTTTTATAAATATTTAGCTCAAGTGGTAGGTAGTTATTATTTTCTCCAATAATTATAATAGTTTTATATTTAATTTGTGTACTGTTATTTGGTTGATTTTTATATTGTCAATTACAAAGTTACTTTTTTCTTAAATTTATTTGTATGTGCTAATTCAATTGAATTGCATTTTGTATTATCCATGAAGATGCCTTCACCCGAAAAATCGTCAAGCCAATCTAGTTCTGACAGTACAAGAGCCCCAAGAACACCTAAAAGTAATCAAGGTGAATCTTCTACAACTCAAAGAACACCCAGATCTTCACAAAGGTTGGCACAAGGACAGTCACACCAATCATCACCAGCACGAACTCCTTCACGTAGAACACAGCAATCACAAGATGGACCTCAAACTCCTTCTGGTGTTAGTAGAAGAGGAAGGACACCAGTAAAACCTGGTAAGCATTAGCCCAGAACTTCCATTAATCAATTATTATTCATTTTTCGAAGAAAGAACAAAAATTGATTTGTTTGTTTTTTCTGTTCTTAAGCTGAGAAGCAATAAAACTCAATTATATTTTTATAAATTTGTATTGTTAAATATGTTACTCTGCAGAGAAAACTTGTTAGTAAAATTGATTGATTTATCAATAAAAACTGAAGAATCTATATGAATATATTTATATTAGTACCTGGTCAATCTCAAGATTCTGTTGCTTCCACACCAATGAAATGGGGCCGCAATGCAAATTCAAATCGAAATGAAAATGTCACAGTTTCTGGATCAGACAGTGTTTCAATTCCTCCAACATCACCTGCTCAGCCTTTGGCTCCCACTAGTCCTTATGCTCATTTAAACTTAAGTGATATCGATTTGAGTTCTCCTTTGAATTATGGCACTCCCAGCTCAATGGGAAGTATCAGAACTCCCCGATCTGGAATTGCTGGAACACCTATCAGGCTCCGACCTGACATTCGTCTTGATAAAAGATTGCGACAAGTTCATGTTAATTCAGATCCAGTAAGTCATTAAAAGATTGTAATATATAAATAATTTCTAATTATTTTGAAATAAATTATAGCCAAGAACAGATCCTGCAGCACCTTCTGATCGAGATGAGTCTGAATCAGCAGGACCTCAGCTTGTGATTTGGGGAACAAATGTTGTTGTAAATGAATGTAAGAGGAAATTTAAAAGCTTTATTGAGCGGTATATTGATAACACTCCAGAATATGATGAGAGAAGTGAGGGAATGGATTTAAATGAACCTTTATACATGCAGAAACTTGAAGAGGTCATTATATAATTTGTCACTTCATACACACACACACACACACACATATATATATATAAATATATATATATATATATATAAATAAACATAATTTTCTTTTAGATAAAAACATTAGAAGAACCATTTTTGAATGTCAATTGTGCACATTTAGAAACTTTTGACGCTGCTTTATACAGACAATTATTATGCTATCCTCAAGAAGTAATTCCCACCTTGGATATGGCAATTAATGAAATGTTTTTTAATAAATATCCTGAGGCAGTATTAGATCACCAGATCCAAGTTCGACCATTTAATGCTGCCAAAACTAAAAATATGAGGGCACTAAATCCTGAAGGTTTATATATTATATGCATGAATTTTTTATGCAATATGAATGCTAATAATTATAAATACTTTCAGATATTGATCAATTGATTACTATATCTGGTATGGTTATTCGGTGCTCGAACATAATTCCTGAAATGCGTGAAGCATTCTTTAAGTGTATTGTATGCTCATTCACTAGTGCTGTAGAAATTGATAGAGGTCGTATTAATGAGCCTACATTGTGCTCTCACTGCAATACAAATCATTGTTTCCAATTAGTTCATAACAGATCTAACTTCACGGATAAGCAAATGATTAAGCTTCAAGAAAGTCCAGGTAGTTAAATGATTATTTTAAGAGTTTCAAAGTATGAGTTTTCATTTTTATTTGAGTTATCAATTATTCTCAGATGATATGCCAGCTGGCCAGACCCCACATACTGTAATATTATTTGCCCATAATGATTTGGTTGACATGGTACAACCTGGTGATCGAGTAACTGTAACTGGAATATATCGAGCCATCCCCACTCAAGCTAATCCTAGAATGAGAAATGTCAGGGCAGTTTATAAAACTCATGTTGATGTGGTTCACTTCCGTAAGATTGATAACAAGAGACTTTATGAAACTGAAGAAGGGTGTGTAAATTAATTGATTATCAACATTAAAATTGGATCATGATTAATCAAGTCTTTATGCTTTTAGAAAAGACCATGCTTTTCCTCCAGAACGTATAGAATTATTGAGGCTGCTCTCTCAAAAACCTGATGTATATGACCGGTTAGCCAGAGCTATTGCTCCCTCAATTTATGAAAATTTGGATATTAAAAAGGGAATTTTATTGCAACTTTTTGGAGGCACTAAGAAGACATTTACGACTTCTGGACGTGATCATTTTAGGTAATATTTCAACTCATTGTAATTTCAAAATCAAACCATTTAAAATCTTTAAATATTTGTCCTAAAGGTAAGTTGCCTGAATTTCCCGAAATGTGGAAATATACTTAATCGATAGAAATTGAGATTAAAAGTATTTGGATAGATATTTGGTTTCATCTGTTTATTTCAAATATAATCTATTCAATTGTCAATTATGTTTCAAACAACTTCTAATATGAATCTTGTGCAAAAAAGTGAACAATTTTTTTTTTCACTATTCTGCTATTTCAAAGAAACGGCTTGGCCGATCGACATGCAAAACTATAACAAGGGTCCTGTTTATAGAGTTTCCACATGGGCTTTTAAACATCTGAAATTGCTTCAGCGGTTTTTTGAAAATCAAATTATCAAATCATAAAAGTGACTTCTTATATATCATTTTTTAAACTCTAACAAATTTTTGAAATTCAATATTTAGTATGACCATAATTTCTATTGTCAAAAAAAAATCCATCAGATTAAAAAAAATTTTTTATCTACTTTTGTCTACCAAAAACTAATCAACGTGAAAAACCAGAATTTTGCAAACAGTTTTTGATTCATTACATCAAATGGGTTGTAAATTATAAAAATTGGTATAGCTGTTTAAAAGAAAACAGAAAACAAAAGATAAAAAAATGGGCTCACATACACACACACATACTTTTTCCAAATTCAGTCTAAATCGATTCAGGATGACTTGAAACGTCGAGAAAACAAAATTTTCGAGAAAACGATGTTTTTAAGGAAAACGTAAACTTCTTTGGGAAGTTAACTAGTAACACATTTCAATATATATTTTGTTATTGTTCATTAACTAGTCTTTCATTATTAATTTTAGAGCCGAAATAAATATTCTTTTATGTGGAGATCCAGGAACAAGCAAATCTCAGTTACTACAGGTAGCTATAATTATCTGTAACACCTACTTTCTGCAATAGGTAATGATTGTTTAACATTGTTTTTAGTATGTGTACAATCTAGTACCTCGAAGCCAGTATACATCAGGCAAAGGATCTTCAGCAGTGGGTCTGACAGCTTATGTTACAAAAGATCCTGAAACAAGACAATTAGTATTGCAAACGTAAATATGCATACTTCTTACTTATTTTAAGGTGCAAAATAATTAAAACAAAAATATTGCAGGGGGTCTTTGGTTCTTGCAGACAATGGAATTTGTTGCATAGATGAATTTGATAAAATGAATGATTCCACAAGAAGTGTTTTACATGAGGTATAAAAAAAAAAGAATTAATTTGGAGGCTTGAATTAATATGAATATGCTTTTTGCAGGTTATGGAGCAACAAACTCTGAGTATTGCAAAGGCTGGAATAATCTGCCAATTAAATGCCCGAACATCAATTCTAGCAGCTGCTAATCCTTGTGAATCTCAATGGAATAAAAATAAGACTATAATTGACAATGTACAATTACCACATACATTAATGTCTAGATTTGATTTGATATTTTTGATCTTGGATCCACAAGATGAATTATTTGATAGAAGATTAGCTACACATTTAGTTTCATTGTATTATGCAACTGGACAAGATGAAGAAGATGAATTATTTGTATGTTAAAATTATTTACCTTTCTTCATACATAATAACCTTTAATATAATTTATTGTTATGTTGAAAACCTAGGATATTAGTGTTCTACGAGATTATTTAGCTTATGCTCGTGAACATGTGCACCCAACTTTGAGTGAAGAGGCTCAACAGAAGTTGATACTGGCATATGTAGATATGCGCAAGGTAGGCGCAGGAAGAGGTCAAATATCTGCATATCCGAGACAATTGGAAAGTCTTATACGTTTAGCAGAAGCTCATGCCAAAGTAAGGCTCAGCCCAGTGGTTGAGCTAGTTGATGTTGAAGAAGCATGGAGGTGTGTACATAGATGTAACCAAATGAATTGAAAATGTATATCCATTTTTTTTTTTTCTAAATCATTTTCTCATTTAATAGGTTGCATCGTGAGGCCCTAAAACAATCTGCAACAGATCCTTTATCAGGTAAAATAGATGTAGGAATTTTGACAACTGGTTTAAGCAGTGCTGCTAGAAAGCATAAGGCAGACCTCATACAAGCAATAAAAGCAGCACTTAAATCTAAAGACAAGCAGCCAACAATAAATTATCAGAAACTCTTAATGGATATTAAAGAAGGCAGTCAAGTTGTAAGCATTCTATACTAGAATACATGTCAAATCGCATTTACTTTAATTTATTAAAATAAATAATAATTATGAAATACTATTTCAGATGGTAACTCGAGAGCAATTTGAAGACGCACTTAAAGAAATCCAAGATGAAGGCCTCATAGTTGTTATGGGAAAAAGCACAATTCGAATTTGTTGATTTGTTTTTTTTTGTATTTAATGCTAATTATTCGACAAATAAAGTTTTTCAATCAATATATATGTTATGTGACATTAGTTTGTAAAATGTTATCTCTTATCATCAGAGAGTCTTTGTGACACTGCTTTTCGTATTGGTCCTTCTTTTAAAATACTCATATCTAAAACATAGTAACAACTACATAAATATTTACATGCAAGCATAAATAAAAAATGCATATAAAAGAACCTCTAGTACGTGTCTGACCTATGGGTCGAGAACTGGTTCCATCGGGGTTTCTCATCTCTCCTTCTTGGATCATACGTCTGCGCTCCTCTATAGCTTGTGTGAGAGCAGCATTTTCAGCAGAATTTAGACCTGAGTTTAAATTTTGAAATTGACAATTGAATGTGTAAAATACAAGTTACTTATAATCAAAGTGTTATTCTCTTGGTAAAATAAAGAATTTAGACATTTTCATGTGATCAAGGTAAATAAAATCTTCCACAGTACTTTTTTTCTTAATTATTTATAGGTTTAAAGTTTGAAAGAACTACGTATAATACTTAATAGCATCTTATAAAATTCATTTTGCGTCGAACACTGATAAATTACTCAAAAATTCATATTTTCTTGCGTGTTTATAATTGAAACAAAAAATGTGTTGATTGTTGTTGAAGATATTAATATTTTTGATATTTTAGACTTATAATTAATTATTCACCTAATAATCGTGAATCCATTCCAATCCAGTCGCTCTGTACGACCTGATCAATCCGCCATCGTTTGCTTGGTTCCGGCTCCATCATATTAATAACGCATTTTTTCACTTGTTCACTTAAGGCATCTACTACACGAGCACGAAATTTCCAACGACGATTAATTTGTTGTTCATGTAATCGCTAAAATATAAAAAAAATCAATTAAATAAAATTGAATACACCTAAGTCTGTTTTTACACGGCAGATTGGTTCCAGAAGAAGCCGTGTAAAAAAAGACATTGATCTTATACAAAAATGGGTGATTTGTTTCTAATCTCTAAAACCTATTAAAATTAGTGAAAAACAAGAATTTTTAGGGTATTCCCCTAAATTAGTGCCATTCACATTTGCTTTGACCAGTAAAAATCGTTTGTACGCGCTAAAAGGGAATTCACTTAAATCTTTAAGCTAGTGTTCGCAAACTATCAGACTTTTTTCTTTCATAAATACTTTTTTGTGATATGAACATACTTCGCAAAAATTAAATTTGACAAAAAAATTTAAGTACATAAAATTTCAAATCGTGCTAAATGGAATAAAATCGTGTAAAAAAATTAAAAATATTCTATTTTCAAACCGTGTAAAAACAGACTTAGGTGTATATATATATATATATATATATATATATATATATATTAAATTTTTTGTGTTTATTTACTCATTCGCATCTTTAACTTCCCGGAGGGTAAGTTAATGTAATCGCAAAAAGATCGAAAATAATTTTTTTTATATATATCTTTACGTTTCAAAGATTTCTGAACATTTTGGCATAACTTAGAAAAAATGGATGTATGTGTGTATGCGTGCGGATACCAATTTTCGTCGACGATTTCAGGAACACGGTTCAACCGATTTCAATTATTCAAAAAACATTCGATTCGTATTGATAAGGAGACGTGCTGATTAGTTTTTGGCAAAGGCAGGTCTAGCCGATTCGGATGAGATTCAAGGCAAAAAGTGCGAAAAATGGTTGTTCAGTTTTTGAGATAACGGAGATTACTTGTATTGACGAAATGAACAACTGATGGTAAAATTTTTGTAAAGGCATGTCTAGCGACTCCGGAGATCCTAGAAAAAAAGTAAAAAATAATGACATTTAGGGGTCAAAAATGAACATTAGAATTAGACATATGTACATCGTATTGTCCGATATTTTATAAAGATTGTAAGTTCGAATTTTGTGTACATTTATATGGGTTCCGTACCAATGTTTACACGTTAAACGACTACGCGCTTTGATTTTTCGACTCCAAATATGCAGAGCGATTGCATAAAAAAATGATCAAAATTTTCAAAAAAAGTCTAAAAAATTAGAATATAAAAAAAAATCATATTTTTCAACAAAGTTAATTTTTTTCAAAAATTTTAAAATTTCTCAAATATCTAATTTTTTCATAATGGACGGCTCCTTATTATGTATATGGTCTCATGGTCTCTCAAACAACATACGCGCTTTAATCAGACCATACTAATAAACCAAAACAAAATTTCTTTATTAACAAACTTTATAAAATATCTGATGATAATTTGATGTGCATATGTCCAATAAACATATTTGACCGCGAAATGACATTTTATAAGTTATTTTTATTGAGAGTCCATAACCGCTGGACCTGCCTTCTCAAAAATTTAATCAGTTTTTCAATTTGTCAATACAAATAAAATGATTTTTGTATTGTTAAAATCGGACACTCCGTACTCTTAAAAAAAAGAGTTACCGTTTTTGGCTTTTTTGCCCCGTATCTTCGGAACGGCTAGACCTGCCTTCACCAAAAACTAATCAGGTCGTCTCCTTATTAATATGAATCAAATATTTTTTGAATTATTCAAATCGGTTGATCGGTGTTTCCGAAATCGTCGACGAAAATTTGTATCCGCACATACACACACATACAGACAAGAGACAAACACATACATACACACATACATCCATTTTGTCTAAGGTATGCCAAAATAAAACATCTGAAACGTAAAGATATATAAAAAATTTCATTTTCGATTTTTTGCGATTACCACAACTCACCCTACGGGATGTTAAAACAATGTTGCTCTTAATTGAGTAATACTTACTTTAATATTGGTGTCATCAAATGGCATTGCTTTATTGAGCATAATGTACAATACAACTCCGAGTGACCACAAATCTGCTATTTTTGGGTTGTACGGAGTACCTTTCAGAATTTCAGGGGCAGCATAAGACAATGATCCACAATACGTTTCGCTTAACAGAAGCCTCTTAGTCCGGAAGTCCATGACATATCGGGCGAATCCAAAATCCGCCACTTTTACATTAAAATTATTCGTTAGTAAAATATTTTCACATTTTAAATCTCTGTGAGCTATTTCCATCTCGTGCAGATATTGAATCGCCAATGCCACCTGTCTAACGATAAGTATATAAAATTAATAAATAAATAAATATATACATCACAAACGTATATAAACCATTTATATTTTTCATTTTTTATTTATTTCTATGTATTTCTATATATTTTCTATATCTAAGTCTGTAAATCAGAAGCGTCTCTGAATGAAAGATATTATTTACACGTTCGTGAAAAAAGAAAAATAGACTGCTATAGATAAAAAAAGATAATATATTTCATAATTATATATAAACAACCCATAGGCTATGTTATTGAACCACGAATAACTTGAATTTAATTAAAACAATTTTAATTTATTTTCAATAATGATTGATGCACCATGGTTGTAATATAAGTAAAGAATATTCCCACTATTTACAAGAAGAAAAATGCTAAAAAAGAAAACAAGTAAGAAAAATGAAGCAATAAGTTTGTATAATACCACAGATAATAAAATATCATTATCAAATCAGAGGTTTTTATAGATTTATTCGATGTTTATAGATATATTCATGTTTTAACTCTAAGGTAGACAAGATAAACATTCGAATTTTCTTGAGACTTCCCGAAGAGTAGTAATCGAAAATCTAAAGAATCTAAAATGAGTTTTTTGCATATATTCACGTTTCAAGATATTCTGATACCTTAGAAAAAGTTGATTTAGTATTCGTATATGGCAAAGTGGGGTCCAGCCGTATTGAAGATACAGTTTAAAAAATTCAATTAGAGACAGTTTTTAAGAAAACGGAGCGTCCGATTTGAATGATTCAGAAAATATTTTATTTATTTTTACAGACTGAGGAATTGATTTTTGTGAGGTCCAACGGTTTTAGAAAAGCAGAAACAAATATTTTAAAAACTTGCATTTTCTGTTCAAATATGATCTAATCGAATCATTAGTATTGAATCCTATACAAAGTATGGCTTTAGTCCAAATGAATTAAATAAGACTTTCTAATCGCGCACATATAATTTCTGACAATCACATTTATGATCATGCACATATAATTTCTTGTGAGCTTAATAAATATACATAGCCGTAGAATTAAAAATGTGAAAATAGAGATACTTAATTACACTCTTGTTGATAGATTATAGGACAATAAATACTTTCTATCGTTTTTACTATTTACAAAGAGATTATCTTTTGTTAGGAATATGCACCCATTTATAATAATTATAAATAATATTATAAACCACTGTGTAACGGTCAAAATACAAACTACGCAGCATTCTTCGTGAATCATACGTACAACATTGTCAGCTCGAAATATCCTTGACAAGACCAGCAAAAGTTTATAAAATTCCTTTCTAGACCACAAAACGCGCATAAAACAGTGACTAATCAAACAAGTCGTAAAATAATGTTATGTTGAAAAGGATTTCAAAGTCACATTGAAGCGAGCACAATGAAAAGCTTGCAATGACGCATTCCGGCACTCCCCTTTTATTTTTCTATAAAGTCAGTCGCAGTTTAGTTTTCTATAAAGAATAAGCTCAATAGTATTTTAGTTATCAATCGTAGTCGTATTTAAGTTAATCATATTCAGTTGTATTCTATATTGTTACTAAATTCGTAAGAATTGGTCTTGCGCGCGAAAATGAACTGCATATATATTGAAAGGTGCAAAAATTTTATGTATAAATATAGTAAAATTATGTTAAGACAATCATGCTTAATACGATTTCTTGCATAGTATGTCCTGCACATTGAAACTATTGTCCCTATCCCGCATAATACCCTTTCTCGCTTAATAGGCGTTCTGGAAAATCATCTTATAACCGTGTTTTAGTATATATATATATGATGGTAGATACGTCTTGAACATTCGCAAGGACTTGGTAATTAAAACAGTAAAATGAATTATAAAGAGCCGAAATTGTTCTTACCACAACATAATTGATGAACATTTGGACGCATAGTAAACAACTTGGCAGCATTCTCCGATAAATGTAATTAAATATACAGATTGCATAATAAAATTAAAATTAAACAAAAACAAATTGGACACATAAATGTAAATCATAAACAAAATGAACACAACAAGAAGACTCAGTAAGAAATGGTCAACCGCCTACAAGTGTAAATACAATACAAACACTGCTTTATATTTATTTTAACAGAACTATGCTAAAATTGTCCATTAAAATAAAATAATAAAAAACATTATATTTACCTCAACCATACCCGAGCTTGATTTTCAGCTACACTCCCATTCTTTAGAACAAACTCTAACAGGTCGCCATTCTCAGCAAATCGCATAAAAATATAATATTTGGCCCTTCTTTGGAAGATACTGTGTACGTGCACTACATGAGGATGATTCAGTTTGATCAAAATTTCCAACTCCCTTGGTAAAAACTTCTTAACAAAATCCTTCGGCGCTTTAGTAGTGTCAACTATTTTGCAAGCAAGTTGATATTTCTTATCGGATTCTGAGTCGGTTTTGAATTCGCCCAAATATACTTTTGCGTAGGAACCTTCGCCCAGTTTCTTAGTAAGTTTGTATCCCCTGTTGTGCAATGTCGTTTCTTCTGAAGGTGATGTTTTTATAATTTCAGTCATTTTGATTAAAATTCAGCTATACATTTTATATGTTGAATTTTTCATATTTAGATCGAGTATCGTAAGAATAATTTCACTGGAATTTGACATTTGCATTAAATTACTGTTGCTAGGTAATAATCAATTAACTTTGTTTTGGATTGTTTCGAGCCATATCAAATTTAGGTATAAGAAGAAATAAAACAAAATAATAGGATTTACATAATTAGAAAATATAAAATGTGAGTCAAAAAGTTGGTACCACAAATTCCATCATGTCTTTGTAACACATAGAATTAGAAAACAATAGTAGAAAAAAATGAAAGAAATGTCAGGAAATTCTTTGAATTAATTATAATTTTTTTCAAAGCCGCACGTCATACTGTTATTACTTAAATCAATTATTATAAAATATAAAATACTATGAGATTTAACAAGTAGGATAGATACAGCAAGCTAAAAGAGAATGACAAAGTAAAGATTAAATTTTAGGCATATAGACCCTTAAGAACTGAAAGAAAATAAAAAGATAATTTTTAGAGTAAAGTTAATTTATTTAAGAAACCCAAAACCATATTTTGAATGTAATCAATTATAATGTATTTAATTAAGAAACGAAGAATAAATTATTCACATCAAAACGATTAAAAAATGTAGTGATTAATATTTATAGAAAAATAGTTTAAAAACAATGGCTTAGTTATCTACATTTAACTTTACGATATATTACTTACTAGGTATATATTACTTACAACGCAGAAATAGGTATATCTAATAAATAGATTAACAGTTCGATGTATATTTCAGTTCACAAGAAGTAATTTGAGATGAGCTCTTATCTCAAATTAGCTCTTATTATTATACCAATACATATTTACACTAAATAAATTACATTAACTAATTTCAACAAACTTCAAATTATGATATATAGTAGGTATTATTAAATTACGAATAATAAAATATATGATATTTACAATGCTAAGTAAAAATTTAGGTGATAATGACTATAGTGTCATCCGTCATTTAAAACTATAATAAATTTGAATATAAATATAATATAGAACTTAAACTAGAATAAAATTAAAATTAATATTTAAAAAAAGTTTTATAGATAATAAAAACTTTTTAATTTCTACAAAACGCGCGCCGATCGAGCAATAATTTATGTTTAAAATTTTTATCCTAGTAAATTTCCTTAAATATCTATAACAACCGTTCATAGAACATACTCTCATAATATATCATAGATATATGGGACCAAAGATCACCAGCAGTCGAAGTCAATCAAGCGATCGACAACTAATAGCTGGTAAGCACAAAATATATACATAAAATATAATTATCTTAAGAAATAAATATTGTATTGTTATACATACACTTATAGATCAACAAAAAATTACCTTTTTGTTGATACAAAATATTTAATATCGTGCACATGATAATGTACGATAAATAAAACGGGAGAGCATTTGTACATTCATTGCTGATTTTCGTACAAGAAAATTGGCAAGAAAATACCGCGATAAAAAAAAAAACTTACAAACAGTATGGATGACAAAACTGATAAACGAGTCTTTGACTGCGTTCTGTTTTCTTCATAATGCCTTTTTTGTAATATTGTCTTATCGATCTGGATAATTTATCATAGTTCATAGCAGGCCTGTTTTTACGTTTTCCCCAAAGTCTGGCGACTCGGACCGAATCTTCTATTTTGAAGACTCCACGGCTTCTATCGATCCAGCGAATAGCCGATCCGTGAGTCTGAGGACCCGCTAGAAGTTCTTTTAAAAATTGCCAAAGGTGAATATGTGAACTACCTTGTCTTTGAGTACCGGTACCGTTTCCGTTGGTAGAAGGTGCAGGCGAGGGTGCAGACCTACCAGATAAGTTCGCTGTGTCCAAAACGTCGTCAGTATCACAGGGCATTGTTAGGGATGGAGGTTCCTCATCTTCGGCTGCGAATAATTATTAATTGAATATACAAATACGCAAACACCTATATATAATTTCATATGGAAAGCAAATTATTGTTTAACGGATAAATAGAGGAAAAAACTAGTTGGTATTGGTATTTTGCCTTGAGGCAAGTTACATGAACTTCCCGATATGTGTAAATAATCGACTTAATCAATAAAAACTAAATTAATTTATGAGTGATTAAAAGTATTCCGAGTGGATTCATTACGCATAATTACAAATGAATGAACACCAGGTACTATATCGTTATACCAAGTAAATCGTCTAATTTTAATTTTAACAAACGTCAAAAAATAAGGTGACCATACGTCCCGGAATGGCCGGGACAGTCCGGATTTTTCGCCTTGCGTCCCGGTTTTTTTCTAAAAGCAATATTTGTCCCCGATTTTTAAAAATGTTTTGATTGCCAATATTTTTTTCAATATATTTCAACTAGAAAATTTGATTTTAAAATGTGCATATAAATTTTTAGCTCACCAACACCCCCCCTTCCCCCGCTCTCTAACTCATTATAATCCATCCCGGATTTCATGCAAAAAAAATATGGTCATCTTACAAAAAAAAAACTAATCATGTTCTCAAACTTTGATGATTTTTTGAAATTAAACTACTTGTCGTAATACCTTAATATTTCAGTAAGTTCTATAAGACCATGATATATATCGCAAAAAAAAGTTCCATAAAAATCGGTTAAATTTTTTTTTCAAAGTTAATTACAAGAAAACGGCTCGGTAGATGTTCACCTAAAACTAATCAGTCTCATTCCCAACTAATATCTGTCGAACAGTTTTTGATTTTTTTTAAAATCCATTCGGTATAGTATGAGCTTAAATGTGGACGAAAATTTTTTCACTTTTCTGCGATTTACAAAGAAGCGGCTTGGCTGATCCTAGCGCAAATTTGGTAAACGCTAATTCTCATCGAGATACATAGAATGGCTTTTAAATTTTTGAAATCAATCCAGCCGTTTTTGAGTAAACGTCAATTTACGGCAAAAAATCTATTCACATACACAGTATGTGAGCTAGCCCTAGGCACACACACCCATTACTTTTTCCAAGTTTAGTCTCATTCGATTCAGAATGGCTTGAAACGTCGAGAAAACATGAAATTAGCGAACCGGATTTTTGATGAATACATAAACTTCTCCTTCGGGAAGTTAACTAGTGGTGCATGGCATCGTGTGATCAATGATTAATAACAATTGTTTTAAATGAAATATATAGTAACTATCAGTAACAAAACACTTGAAAATGTTTACGTTAAGAAGAGTTGTTGCTGAATAAATCCAACTGAGGATATATTTCTTTTCATTTTCATTTCGATTTTTTGCGATTACTATAACTTAGCCTACGGAAAGTTAATGTATTAAACAAGTTCTAATTAAATGTGATTTTTAAATATATTAATAATGTTCGAAAACAGATCAAATGCCCATTCCCATTTTAGCAAATAAGTCTTAAAACTCTACCGTTATGTTAGCAAAAGTTTATTTTGTGTGGTTAGTAAAATACTGTAATTATAAATATTTGCAAACTAATTATTCATCTTCTAATATGGTATACATCAAGTGTTTCACACTCATTATAAATGTTAGCCGCGCGTCGTAGTAAAAGTAGGTTGAAGAAAGCATCGTACACGCGTGCATCGCATCACGATGCTAATAAAAAAAAATATATGAGCAAAACTTCAGGATCGATTGATATTTTATTCGTTTTAGTCGTTTTAGATTGTCATTAAAATTGTTTTCTCTGGAATAATTAAAATTATATTGCAAAGAATTCATGTTGATATGTGCGACTAACTAACATTGTTGATAGAAAACTGAAACATTTTTTTACCAATCTACATAAATAAAATTTCAATAAAAAACAGAGATTGAAAAATATAAATTTCAAGATTGATTAATATTTTTAACGTTTCAGTCGTTTTAGTTTCACATTAACTTCTTTTCCTCTGGAGTAATTAATATTATATTACAAAGAATTCACAGACATTGCTGGTAGTAATTACCCAAATATTTATTGAAAATTTATAACATAAACATATGGATGTAAGTGTGTGCGTGTTTATTATGTATATATGTGCGGATACTAATTTTTCGTCGACACACAATTTCGTGAGAACAGAGTAAATTGATTTGATTTGATTTGATTTTTTTTATTGTTATTCATATTTAAATTACAATCTGTCTTATAATTAAAAGACATTTAGTAATTAATCTGAGACCTAATAAAGGTATAATGTTTTTAGAGAACCACCCATTCGTACTTTTTCTAATTTATGAAAATATATACTAAATTTGATGATAATGGAAATAAACAGATAATTAATAATAGCATAAAGTATAAATATTAATAATAAATAATATTATTAATAAAATAACAATAATAGTAAACAATAAATTGATTTGAATGATTCAAAAAGTATTCGATTCCCATTGATAGGAAGACGTGCTAGTTAGGTTTTGGCAGAGACAGGTTTAGCCTTTTTGAAGGAACGGTGCAAATAGTGCAAAAATAGCAATTCAGTTTTTGAAAGGACAGAATGTCTGATTTGAATGATAAGAAAAACATTTTACTTGTATTGACAGAATAAAAACTGATTAAAATTTTCCGAAGGCAGGTCCAGCGGTTTCGGAGATCAGATTAATAATAAGTATGATTATTAACTTTAAAATCGAAAATGAAAATTTTTATATATCTTTACGTTTTAAAACCTTCTGAACATTTTGGCTTACCTTAGAAAAAATGGATGTATGTGTGTGTGTGCGTGTACGTGTGTGTGCGGATACAAATTTTCGTAAACGATTTCGGGAACACGGATGAAGCGCTTTGAATAATTCAAAAAACATTCGATTTGTATTGATAAGGAGACGTGCTGATTAGTTTTTGGCAAAGGCAGGTCTAGCAGTTCCGAAGATATGGGGCAAAAAGAGCCAAAAACTTAACTCAGTTTTTAAGAGAACGGAGCGTCCGATTTGAATAATTCAAAAACTTGTATTAACAAGATGAAAAACTGATCAAATTTTCATGAAGGCAGGT